AGAGTTCTTTGGAGAAATCCAGGGCTGGGACAGGGAAAGTACTTGTTAAGACTGGAACATCTTTTCATGCCAAAAGTAAAAAAAAGTGCTTTAAAGAAAACAAAGATGTCAAAAAGGACACAAGAGGCAACTTCAAAGGGCTCTAAATGGCCTAGGATAATCTGAACTGCTAAGTAAACAAGGACTGTAATGAATTATAATCCACAGAATGAAATAAGAATCCATGAGTTTGTACTGATATATTAAAACAACAACATAAACGGGGAGAGAGAAGCTCTTCCTTACAATAGAATTCCAACTCATAAATGTAGAAGAAATAATGGAAATAGAAAATCATTTGGTAAACACCACAGTAATATTTTTTTTCAGCCAATGTTCATCAATGGATGCTAAAATTAGATGATAAAAAAATAGTATAATTTAAAAAGAGGATATTTACAATATCTCAAAGTACCTCCCTCAACAATGTATCCATTAGCTACAAAAAAGAAAAAAAAAAAAAAAGAAACCTTAGAGAAAAGAGGCAGACAGCACCTTAACCAAGTGATCAAAGTAAATATCACCATGTGCTTTCTGACATGATGCACGAAGAATGATATAACATCAGTCAGACTGTAATCTTGGACTGGATCTTGGACGAGATAAAGGATACTGGTGGCGTAACTGGCAAATTTGCAAAGGTTTGCAGATTACACTATTGTATCATTGTTAATTTCCTGAATTTATAATTGTACTGTGGTTATATAACACGCTAACATTTGGAGAATCTGGTTAAAGAATATACGGGAATTCCTTTTACAATTTTTACAACTGTTTTATAAGGCTAAAATTAATTTAAAAATTTGAAGCTTAAAGAAAGGTTAAAGAAGGTCGGGTGCAGTGGCTCACGCCTGTAACTGTACTTTGGGAGGCTGAGGTGGACTGCCTGAGGTCAGGAGTTCGAGACCATCCTGACCAACATGGTGAAACCCCGTCTCTACTAAAAATACAAAAAAATTAGCCAGGCATGGTGGCATGCGCCTGTAATCCCAGCTACTCAGGAGGCTGAGGTAGGGGAATTGCTTGAATCAGGGAGGTGGAGGCTGCAGCGAGCTGAGATCATGCCTCTGCACTTCAGCCTGCATGACAGAGTGAGACTCCATCTCAAAAAGAAAAAAAAAAGTTAAAGAAAAGCCTCATGAATAAGCAGTACACAGAGAATTGTGTATATATGTAAAAACACTCAAAACGGCTATTATTATAATTTTCCAAGTTTATTAAGCCTCTTGACTTCTTAGTCACTCATTTAATAAATATTTTAGAGTGCCTACTTTATATGCCCATAAAACAGAAAAAGGGAGGAAGGAAAGAAGTAAGTAGGTAACCGAGGCAGGCAGGCAGGCAGTAATTCACTCACAGATTCCTAACACAGCTATAATTGGTCATTTCAAATACACTTTCCCTCTTTCCAACTGAGAAATTTGCAACTGAGGATTCCCTCCCTCTTTCCAACTGAATTCCAAGGCCTACTTAATTCTTGCTCTCCACTTTCCATGTTCCTGCTCCTACTGTTAACAAAATGCATATATTCTAAAAACATGCATCAAATCCCAGCTATGTGATTTTGCCCATAACTGAACATCTCTGACCCTTTCCACTTCTTTATATAGAAAACTAGGGTGTCTTTAATCAATTTTATAGGGTTGTTTTGAAGATTAAATAGGAGCGGCAGGGTGTGGTGGCTCACGCCTGTAATCCCAGCACTCTGGGAGGCTGAGGCGAGCGGATCACTTGAGATCGGGGTTCAAGACCAGCCTGGCCAACATGGTGAAACCCTGTCTCTACCAAAAATACAAAACTTAGCTGGGCATGGTGGCACACGCTTGTAGTCCCAGCTACCTGGGAGGCTAAGGCATGAGAATCGCTTGAACCCAGAAGGCGGAGGCTACGGTGAGCCAAGATTGCACCACTGCACTCCACTCTGGGCAACAGAGCAAGACCTTGTCTCCAAAAATGGAGCAGGTAAAAATAACTGGCACATAGTAAATGCTCAGAACATGTTAGCTACCTTTCCTTTACAAATTACATTCTCTAACTTCCGTAGGATCCTGAAGCGTAGTTCAAATTTTCCTAATCTCTAGGTGAATCCCTGTTCTACTTCCCAAGGAGGCTACTTCAGATTTTTCACCTACATATTTCTAAAGGTAAATATAAATAATGTATTTGCTTTATCCATTCTACAGATTTAGCATTTACTGAAAATTCAACTAGCTAAAAGTATGTATAACTGCTGTTTCCCAAATATCAGGTCAATATTTCTAAGTGCTTTTCCAAATACTACCTAGATTATCTCACCATGCCAATCTCAAACTCGAGCTTCCAATACCATGCTCTATGCTGCCACCTGTTGGCTATTACCATATTCTCCAGATAGTTCCTTCTATTTTAGAATCTTAAGCCAGCCTTAAAATGCAAGCCTCAATCCAACAGATACAATAAATCTCTAAAAAAAAAAAAACATTTAATTTCCAGACTCTAGTTCTTCTCAGACAAGATGCTCCAAGTGACTGCAAAGAGTTCCAACACAAACACTTTAAGTCTAACACAACTGAAGAAATACTGTAAATCTGACAATTCACATGATACAGGGTTTCTCTTATCCTATTTTCCATTACAGATGTATGACTGTCTCCGAAAATAAATGCCAAAGACAGGAAATAATATCTAATGGAGAAAAACAGCTTTCCCAGAACCAGCTGAGTTGTCAAATGGAAAAATTATTTCTATTTAGAAAACCAACTAAAAACTATAGAGCTACAAACAGTAAAACAGTTGTTTTAAGTGCTTCACCATTTCATGACTTTCTCTATCTGTATTTTCTTCTAAAAATATTCACACAAGCTGGGTGTGGTGGCGTGTACCTGTAGTCGCAGCTACTTGGAAGGCTGAAGAAGCAGGATCACTTAATCCAGCCTGGGCAACACAGTGAGACCCTGTCTCTTAAAAAAAAAATTCATATAATATTTTACCCTCATACAGCAAGGGAAAACTCTCAATCATATTACAAGAATATACTATATACAACTACCAAGCATAGAATGGCTCTCTTCCTTATCCTAACCTGAAAAAAAAAATTAGTAACTGTTTCTTCTTTTTATTCTTCAAAAATTCCTATTAAATGGCCTGCTCAATAAAGAGCCACCAGACACACACACACACACACAGTTTAAAATTCTGAACTTCAATTTCACTGGAAGTTTAACTCAAAACAATGTTGCCTTCTTTTCTAGTCTTTTTGGAGACAGATTAAATTTTAAAACACTTTCTTCCTCAATTCAACAAAAACAGACCATTCCAAATAGTCAGAGCAACAACTTTTTCATGTAGAAAACAAGAAAAAGAAGCCATAAAAGAACATTAAGAAGCACTTAAGTTGACTACACGATGGCTTTCAAATTTTAAAACAACTTGCCAACACAAATAGTGATATAATGGTTATATGCAGGGGTACAAGGAAGCATACAGTATGGTCTGCCTAGTTTTTAGCAGTTGACAATGTAGTTAGGAACAAAAGATTCAAACATGAAAAAGGATGAACAAAATAAGGCAGAATATTAACTGACAAGTAATTTGCACAGATAATATTGACAACAGTGTGAAAGGTTGAAACAGCAATAGAAGCAGAGGAAGGATGGTGCTTAAGAGTAAAAGGAAGGGAATTTCTAGTTATAGAGAAATAGCTTAGTTGTAAGAAAACTGTATAGAAGACTAGTGGGACATCATTAGAAAGAAAAGTGGATTAAAATGTGGAGGGTATTGAGGCACTGTTAGGTTAATGAATCCAGAAGACAATGAGAAAGTCATCAAAGACTAAGCATAAGGTAACATTTCTATACCATTTAAGGGGTGAGGGTTGGGAGGAGTTTAACCTTGTAGGACTATTTAAGAGACTGAAGAAAACAGAGAGAACTATAGTAATGATTGTGGAAATGAAAAAAAATGAAATTCATTATGAGGGAAAAACTGATAAAATCTGGTCAATGATTTACGTTAAGAGTGTATAGGGCAGAAGAAAGTGTTCCCAAGGCTTTAAAACAGAGAATCGATGTACCATGAAAAAAAAAGGAAAAGACAGTAAACCATTATTAATAAGTATTTCCAACAAGTGAAATGTTTTCTAACAAAATTCTGTTTATGTATAAAACAAAGCAATAAAACAACAAATACACAAAGGTTCAGTCGGTTTATATAACTGAAAATAACAGCATTAATGCGCAGATGTTATGAAGTGTCTTAAAGTAGAACCACAGTATACAAATCTACATGAATTAGCAACTGCTTGATCCAGATCTACATTACTGTTCTTTTTGTGCTAAAAATAACTCCCATTAATGAACTGCCACACATTTCATTTTCAAATAAACACAACAGTTTGAGACCTAATTAATTATTCTGCCTAGTGAAGTATATAAATAAAATAATGCACGGGCCATGGGCAGTGGCTCAGGCCTGTAATCTCAGCACTTTGGGAGGCTGAGGCAGGCAGATCACTTGAGGTTAGGAGTTCAAGACCAGACTGGCCAATATGGTGTAACCCCATCTCTACTAAAAATACAAAAATTAGCCAGTGTAGTGGCAGGCACCTGTAATCCCAACTGCTTGGGAGGCTGAGGCAGGAGAATCACTTCAACCCAGGAGGCGGCGGCTGCAGTGAGCCGAGATCGTGCCATTTCACTCCAGCCTGGGCATCACAGCGAGACTCCGTCTCAAACAAACAAACAAACAAACAAATCCCACAACAACAACAAATGCATTGTAGGATATAGGTTTCTTAATAGGCTACTCAACAGGATGGAAATAATTTAAATTGCAAAACCCAGGATTACTATCAAACTCTTTCGTAAGTATAAAACCATACCTTCCTTTTCCTACAAATCCTCCAATGAAGTAATACAATGTTTTAAAAAATGAAAACTTTAAAATATTACACTAAATAAAAGTTTCACAAGCTTCTTAGTTACCTTTACTTTATCTCTTCTCAAGCAACAGAATAAACAGTTTTCATCAAAAGTCCAATCAGAAATGCTTTCAGGTTCACAGTCTGCAAAAATAGTAACAAATTAATAGTCATAAAAGAGAATTTTTCAGAAAATAAATCAGAATTAATTTCAAAAATACTGTTTAACAAAAACCTAAGTAGTTAGGCCATATTTGTCTTAAAATTTTTAACTCTTAAAATTCTTAAGTCTTAACTGCTCACTAGTTAATACATTATTCATACATATATCAACAATATCAAGTGAACACAAAAAGATGCTTACATGAATATAACTTTAATCCATATGAAACCGTGAATAAAAAGGAGACTGAGGCTTAAATCACCAAGGTATCATGTATGGCACCAGGAAGAATTTGAAATACCAAAAATATTTTGAATACCTTTAAATAAACTGAGATCTTTTAATAATGCAGGTCCAAACAGCCCTTCAAGAATACTTTCAAACCCTGAAAGGATAAAAACAAAATCCATTACCACAATAATATTCATTCTAGTATTGAATAATCTTTGCATAAAAAAAAAAAGATGATGTTTTCTTCCAGTTCTCAAGGATCCTGGATTACTATTAAAGGGATGCTTAGAAAAAGAGTGTCAATGACAAATCTAAAAGGGGCATTTGCATTTCTGTCAATGATTAACATTCAACACAAATTCTGAGCACATTCAAGAACAAGACCAATGAAGGAATGAAAATCCACAGGTTCTCTAATCATTTTACAAAATCCCAAACACCTCTTTGTACAAACTCTCAGGCTCCATTTTAAAAGGTACTTTTCTCAATGAATGAGTCAAAAACTGCTTCAAATTTTTCACAACTTTCTAAAATAATCTAAATAGCATTTTTCAAAATACCAATTGAGACAACAGATTTTGAGTTAACAGTTTATGAAATCTTTACTGAGAAAAACTACATCACACAAACGTAAGGTACAAGACTTTTGTAAAGAAGGTACAAGACTTAAAAGACTTTTGTAACTATTTAACACTGCCACAGTAACTATGTGCTGGTTCCTTTATAAATGTAAACCCCCACTGATTATACATACAAAAAATATATATATATATACTTGTACACAAATGTTTAAATTATTATGTCCTTCTACCAGTGTGAAAGAAGTAGAAAATGAAAAAAATCAAAAACTTTTTTTCTGGCTTGTTATCTCAAATACTGATGATCTACTGAATGATAAACAATTTGAAAATATCTTCACCATCTTGCAATTTTTTTTTTTTTTTTGAGACGGAGTCTCGCTCTGTTGCCCAGGCTGGAGTACAGTGGCGTGATCTCAGCTCACTGCAAGCTCCACCTCCTGTGTTCACGCCATTCTCCTGCCTCAGCCTTTTGAGTAGTTGGGACTACAGGTGCCTGCCACCGCGCCCAGCTAATTTTTTGTATTTTTAGTAGAGACAGGGTTTCACCGTGTTAGCCATGATGGTCTCGATCTCCTGACCTCATGATCCGCCTGCCTCGGCCTCCCAAAGTGCTGGGATTCATCTTGCAATTTTTTATGGGTCAAGAAAGTAAGGAGGAAAACAAGAACAGGAATCAGACTGTATCTTTATACAACATACCAGAAATAACACATTAAAGCAGTGGTTCCCAAAATGTGTGCCATGGACCTCACTGGGAACTCAAATGGTTATTACAAACAAGGAGTCTTATGAATCCATATGCACTCTCAGTGTGGCCTTTGGGAAGAAATTAATGTCTTGTGCATTCAGTATACATACTACTTTTCAAATGCATAGGACTGTTACTGCAATAAAGTAAATATAAAAAGTGTTACTGAATTCCTAGTAGCTAGGGGCACTGTGTATTTTGCAACATAATCTGTCACCTAGGGGCTTGCAATTTTAATTGTTAAAAAGCACTCCCATGCTTAAAAGGTACCACTTAAATTAAAATACTACATCCTGCGGGATACATAAGGCCCCCTCACATGTATCAATTCTTTACCACAAATACAACCACAGAAAAGGATTTAGAAGGTAAGGAGGTAGAAATGATGGCCTCTGAAAATGGTATTTTGTGTATCTGGCTATAAGAAGATGGTAATGTAAGGGATTTCTTTGCCTTAGTATTAAGCCATAATTTTCAGTAATCTCTAGTTTGTGTTATTTACACTGTAATTAGAGAGCTGGTTTTTCTATACTATATGATACATCCTAGATTCCAGATTTTTCATTTATTGTTAGGGAGTAATTGTTTTCCAACTCTCTTTAATTCCCATCAAAATTATTCCAAGGACATTAACAAAATCAAACTACCCACTCAAACAAATGGGAGGTATCTATGTCTGTTTATTATTTACCTACTAAAATTAAAATATATTCCACTAAATTGCTATGGTCCCCTCTCTTCCACACTAGGGAGGAAAAAGGGTTGGGGTAGCGTTGTGGGAGTGGGTAGGTAGTGGTAAGAGAAGAGAAGAAACTGCTAGATACTGTCTATCTTGGCCCTAGAGATCAGTTATTTTCAGAACGATCTGACTTAAAAAAATAAATAAATCCCACAGTCCATCTCCAATTCTTAAGCCCTCCTACCTGCCCTCCCAAAAGAAAATCTGATTTCACAAACAATAAAGTATTTCAACACCTTGCAAGCATCAAACACACACTGCAAATAGCTAAAGGAAATTATTAAGTAGGTCTTATCCTGAAGAGCAAATCTAATATTCTTTCACCTGGGTTTATATAAAATTGTAACAAATTCCAAATTTGCGGGCTGAGCATAAACTCTTGAAAAGGAAAAAAGTAAATATAGCAAGAAATAATGCCAGGAAAGAAAAATGCAAATAAAAGCTTTAGGAGATAAAAATGTTAAAAAAGAACAGAATCTGATGTAAGAAAATTGGGCAGAAGATCAATAATACTAACAAAAACTTGAGTCACAGATTAAAAAGCAATGACAAAGAAAGAACAAAAGCAAACAAAAAATCTGGTCATAAACACAAAGATTTAATCACAACTAATTTTGCTCAAAATAGCAACTGTAAACAAGTCACTCCTCTTTTGTTCATATCTGCAACAATACATTAAACCTAACAAATATTATTGATTAGATACTGTAAAGTCATATTTTGCTACCCTCTATTCAATGGATGTTAATGCCACTCAGTTTTATTAATATTAAATATTGAATTTAGCAGTTGCATAGCAACAGGGAATGTCTGGTGTGCTATGCTTGACATTAACAAAAGGCAAATAAGGGAAGAACAAATACATTCAAAATGTATACCATGATATCACAGAAAAGCCAGAAAGTTCAATAACAAAATGCCATGGAAAACTAAGTACTGAAAAAGACAGCCATGCCGTTATGTTCAATCACTAGGGCTTAAAAACTACCTTTACACATCACATATAAAGAAAAAAAATTTTTTTTATGGAAGTTGACTACTTTTGAAAGAAGTCCTATCCAACATCACAACTAGTCTCAAGGCTAATCTCGTTTCTTCTTCACTGCAACCTGCACCATGTCTTCAGGCTATTCCTAAAACCCATGTCTTCAGGCTATTCCTAAAACACTGTTTCAATGATGCCACCACCTCTTCAAAGTTCACACTGGTTAAAGAACAAACCCCAACTTCCTAATTCAGCAACCAAAACTGCTTATAATTTGACCCTACCTACTGTCAGCTGGCTTACTTACCAGAGCTTTCCTGCTCATTCCTCCCACAGCTCTGGTCAGGATGGTCTTCTGTTGTGTTCAGTGATCATTCCTACCTCCTAATATTTTCTCAAGCCTTTGCATCTCACCTCTGCTCAAATATAGTATCTCTCTCCTTCAAGAAAATCTTCAAATTGTTCAACAAATACATATTCATTTATTCGACATATACTAACTGAGAGTCTGTCATCTGCCAGGGACTGTTCAACAGGCAGTGTTGAGCTGACATGTTACCTGCCCTCATTGATCTTTAGTTTCCAGTTCTATCATCCTCAAAATTCTCAGATTGTTGCTTGATTTTAAATAAAAGTCAGTTGCCTAATATTTTCTCTGCTTTCTGCCATTTACAAGACACTGTCTTTTCAAGTATTTTGTAAAATAAAATTTGTCACAGGCTATCTAAACCCTATGTTCTCATTTTTCTTTTATTCATTTATGTCTTATCTCCTCAAGCAGAATTAATGCTCCAGTAAGGCTAGGAAGCAATGTTTCTCTTATAGGAACAATGTTTCTCTTATAGGAAGGCTTCACATGTCTGAGTAGCTTCTGATTTAATCACACAGCTCTCGAAAACAGAAGATAAAAGACTAATCTCTCCCACAAATTTCCCCCTTCAATCTAAATCACAATCCATTTCCAATGAAAAGGGGGAAAACAGGTTATAAAAAGTAAAAGAATAGGAATATATCAAATACAAAGCTAACTAAGGTCACCAATACAGCCTGTTCTTTTGGAAAAAAAATAATAGAATGAAAAAATAGTTTCTGGGTCTTGGGAACCTCTCCTGAGATAACCAGTATAGAGACTAGTAGTTTCAGAGAGGTGCTGAAGGAAATGTAGGAATATACCAGAAAATGAGCAATTTCCACATCAAGGTCCCCTGGATCTTGTACTCACTCAGGCTTATACTGAGCTTGCTGCTCAATCTTCAATAAAGTACAGTCATGTGCCATATAACGATGTTTTAGTCAAGGATGGACTGCATATACCACGGTAGTCCCATAAGATTATAATGGAGCTGAAAAATTCCTACTGCTTGGTGATTATAGCCACTGTAATGTTGGACTGCAATTACTTTATTCCTAAATAAATTTAGTGTAGCCTAAGTATACAGTATTTATAAGTCAACAGTAGTGTAGAGCAATGTTCTAGGCCTTCGTATTCACTTACCACTTACTGACTCACCCAGAGCAACTTCCAGTCCTGCACTCTCCATTCATGGTAAGTGCCCTATCCAGGTGTGACAATTTTTACTGTACCTTTTCTATGTTTAGATACACAAATACTTACCACTGTGTGACAATGATATTGTGTGACAATGGTGGTATTTCCTACAGTATTCAGTACAGTAATATTCTGTACAGGTTTGTAGGCTAGCAGCAACAGGCTATACCAAACAGCACAGGTATGTAGTAGGCTATATTACCTAGGTTTGTGAAAGTATACTTCACAATGTTTGAAAAATGATGAAACTGCCTAAGGATGTATTTCTCATAATGCATCCCCATTGTTAAGCAACACATGACTGTATTATATTTTACAAAGTATCAGTTCAAAAGTGCTTGCTGGCAATAATAATCAATTAGTGTCCTAATAAACAAAGAGGCAAATGATATTATCTGGAGTTGTTTGCTTAAAACTCAGAATGTGTGACTTGATGCCACCACCACACTGAGCTTCACACCAAGTCAGTCACAAAGTGAAAGTACTGGGTTGGTACAATAGTAATTGTGGTAATAATTTTAGAGCACTAGATTATACAATCTTTTATATTCT